CATACAGTGTTCTCCTTCTGAGGTGAATGAAGAATCGAACATCCGGATATGGTTCCGGACAACATTCGTAAAACTTTTCATTCCTCTGTTCCCAGGTTTCTAAAAGTTGAAATTATCTTGATGCAGCAATTATTGATCTTCTACTTTTTATCTCCTTATATAGCGATAAATTTCGATTATATCTCGATCAAACAATAAGTTATATAATTGAAGGACAGAATTATTTCTATGAAACTGCTAATAATTCTTAATTTAAATGTAACAAAAAAAAATTAAAAAAATCTAGCACTTACTGATAATGATCCATTCTCCATTCTCGATGAAATCAGACATATCGAAATCACCCGGTTGAAGATCTATTTCATGACCACTAAATGACCAGGAACCGAACTACAGATAGTGTTTCAGTTTGGCTTAATTTTTATGAAAGTTGTCTTATTGAAGCAGTCTGTCTCGAATTAACGACATAACTGAGTATTTAAGAGGTTATTCATATCTGAATGAATAAAACATTCCTACTTTAAGAATGTAAGAAATTTTTAAATCAAGTAATAGCAATTTAATTAAATTGACAAATTTAAGTAAATCTTTTAAATTATTGTATTGAAATGAATACCTTTAAAAAGCAAATCTGTTCATCAAATGGAAACCAATAAATATTAATTTTGCATGAAATTTTGAAAATTCCCGGTGGTATCCATGTTATTGAACCGTCATTATAACTGATTGCATTCACTTTAAATGTACTATCGAAAGCGGAATTAACACTGAAATTCCATTGGCAATTGGTTTAATTAAAATGAAAAATTTAAAAGCATTGATTGAGAACATTATTACTTTACAATTATTTATTTTCGAGTTCAATCCATCGTAAATGTTCGTAACTTTAATTTGTTATAAGTATTAGCGAGGCTTAAATATGATCAGAAGTGAGCTAAATTTAAACAAAAACAACAAAAAAAAAATAGAGCATTAAGATGATTCACCTATTGTATAGTAAAATGTCAGGTTGCCATATTGTACCAGCCGGATGTCTTAAATCCGTTATATTTTCATACTCTAATGGATCCCAACGTAATTTCATATCTTTCCAATTATATTTCAACCATGCATTTATCTCCAATTTCTCTTCTCGTTCATTCTATAATTTCCTTTAAAAGTTTAATAAATTCCAAAAAAAAAAATCAAATATTTTGCAAATATAAATATCATCATTCTTCCTTAAATAGAGATGAGTAGCTTCTTTAAATGATTGAAATTAAAAATCGGAATTGTACCAGATCGATAATTTGTTGAAAAATAACTCCAAGTGTCACAACAACCGGATCTTCACTTCGTTCCACCGGTCGTTCCAATGGATTGTAATCATGCATCAAATCATTCCTTAGCCTTAGTTCAGGTGGTGATGTCATAACGGATATTGTCAAGTACAATAGCAACAGTAGCATCTTACAAATTTTAATTTCAATTAAAATTTAAAGCTAGGAATTTTGTTTGTTCTGAGTTAGCTTTTCATCCATTGTTCTGAAATGAACGACGTGCACTTACTTGAGGACATTATTTGCTTTTTAGAGATTTGTACCTTAGCTTTATCTGGCCAAAATTAAGTAGCCTAACATATATATTTTAATGTTTGCATCCGATCTGATTTGGTAGAATATTAGTGTCTTTAATATAATGTTATTGAATCTTTTTAAATTTTTAGTAATATTAATATATTCATATCGAGATAAAAAAAGAAAATTAATTATTATCATCATCACAAAGTATAAATTAACGGCACTAGCAGCAAATCATCCAGAACTGAACTTAAATGGAAGATATTATTCGATAAGTTTAGATGAAAATAATAAATTGTAAAAAATTAGTAAAGGAATTTGTAAGCATCAATAAAATCAGTGGTGAAAGTTGACAAAATTAGTTGGTAATTTAAAAGAATTAAAAAAAGTAACTTGAAAGCATTACTTTAATAAATTAACTGAATAAAATGCAAAGGATGAGGGTGAACAAAAATGGATTTATTGTAAAGAAGGAGAGAAAGAGAGAGAGATGAAATTACTGGCCAAGAAGAATAATAATAGCAAAATGATTGTTGTTATTTAGAGGATGGAAAGTAAATGAAAAGCAATAGAAAGCACAAATCGATAAGGCTTAAAAAGAGAGATGAGGAACGATGATATGACATAAGAATGGAACGCCTGAAGCTTTTTATCCATTTAACAAAAAGGAAATAGTCAAATTCACAACAAAAAGGAAATACTCATTTTTTTGTTATTAAGTCTAAAAATAATTGGAAGCAATTAATTAAATTCTCTCTAATTTATTACCAGCATTGAAATCAGTGTAATTTGATATATTAGATTTAGATTTTATAGTTGCTAAGTCTAATTTGTCATTTCATCCTTTTAACTATATAAGCAATCAATTTATGAATCCATTGACATAAAGTCATTTCTTATTTGGAATATCGTTTTTATCGAAGAATCACATCCGTTTGGTAAGTAAATTACGCACACATATATACATACATGTGCACATATAAACATGAACACATTGATAAGCTGATTAATAATTCATTATAATAATTATTAATCGGTGGTAATCGATCAAAAGTATTTTTTGATAATAAAAGATGTGGAGTGATAAGAAAGTGTTCATAAATTATGTATACGTGCGTGTATGCATGCATGTATGTATGTGTGTGTGTG